AGAAGTCAGAAAAGGGTGTTGGATTCCCCTGGAACTGGTGTTACAGATGGTTGTTAGCTGCCATGTGGGTGCTGGTAATTGAACCTGGGTGTTCTGCAAGAGCAGCCAGTGCTCTTAACCACTGAGCCATCTCTCCAGCCCTGGATTTCTTAAAATTTTTAGAGCCTAGAAACTATATTAAAATCCTTTGTTGGAAGATCAGGATCATTATTTGTCGTTTTAAAATGCCCTTAAGGCCGTGATTAACAAAGACAAAGATGCCATAATAGGAAAGTCAACTTATTATTAAATGATTGCACACAGGAGAACAAGGAAATCCCAAAATATGGGAATCTGGATGAAGGAATTTGAATACCTCAAAGAATTTAAAAAAACAGCCATAAGTTCTTTTTTTTTAAAGATTGCATTCTCTGGGCTAGAGCGATGGCTCAGTAGTTAAGAGCACTGGCTGCTCTTGCAGAAGACCAGGGTTCTATTCCCAGCACCTACATGGTGGCTAATGACCATCCATGTCCATAGATCCAGTTCCAGGAGATTGCTGCCCCCTTCTGACCTCCACAAGCATTGCATGACACAGGTGCACTTACATACATGCAGGCAATACACTCATACACATAAGACTAATAAATAAAATATTTTTTTAAAAGATAGTACTCTCCTCCTGGGATCATGAGTCAGTATTAATAGCAAATTATTATGTATATTACTATTTATTAATTAATTCAACACCTTTGTTGACTATGTCCTGTATACCAGACACAGGATATATAAAGGTAAAAAGAAATCTTTGCTTCCTAGGAGCTTCTTGTTCAATGTAAGAATTCACAATTTAATTTTTGTTGAGGAATACATTAAGAATAGCCTCACCCACTCTCAGTTATTCCGATATCAATATCCTAAGGATGCACACAGTGTGTGTATGGCTATTAAGTTTAAATTGGTACGGAATCAAATGAAACATTCTGTTCTGCACAGTTATAGAGAACTGCATTACTGCAGAAGGTTCTGTTGGGCAGTCATTCTAGATCAAATCAACAAGCTAGATAACAGGTTAACTACAGTTTAATCCTTATAGAATTTTATTGCTTTTTCCTTTTCTCTCTTTTCATGTATGAAACTTTCACTGCATATTTATTATTTAGTTGGTAGGAATTAGAAATGAAAATAAGGTCCTTACCATCAGGGAATTCATGGTTTTGTGGGACGACACAGACAGAAACAATTAGAAGACAGCAAACTGGGTGCTGTGATAGGATCTGGGCAGGAAGTTGCAGTGAGAACACTGACAAATCTTCCCACCGAAGGTGATGATTGAATTGAAGGATAAGTAAGAGTTATCCAGATGGAAAAGAAAGTGCTCTAGGCAGAAGGATCTGATATATGCAAGGATCTGATGTATGGGCATTCTGGTTAGGAAAGGGTTTAAAGTGCTCCTAGGAAAGTCTTAGAGATAAGGCTGGAGAAGTAGAGGAAGCCCAGTTGTAAAAGTCCTATGTCTTGTTTTATTATGAAGGTAATGTGAACCATTAAAGGATGTTAAACTTTGAAATGCCTAAATAACAGTTACATCTGACATGTATTACACTGGGAGAAGAGGAAGGAGAAGCAGCCAAAGGAGCAGATGGGAGTGTTTTTGTAATCTCACCTAGAACTGATGATGGCTTGAGCTAAGATATAGAAACTCAAGAGAAAACCATAGGATTGCCTACATTTGAGTTTTAAAGAAGTAAAGGAAAAATATGAAGCTACTGATCAAATTGAATAGCTTTTTGTTACAAATATTCTCTGTGCTAGATCTTCATATTGCTAAAGCTCCTTCTGTCCCTGAAAAAATAAAATAAAATAAAATAAAATTGAGAAAATGCCAAGAGTTACAAACTGGTGAGTGTAGTCTATCTCGGCTGAATTCCTGTGAGAAATGAGATACTGGTGAGAGAGGCTGAATAATCAGATTCTGGATCAATAGATCAGTGCTAGGATGTGCAAATGAACTGTGTGATCCTGGGCAAGTCATTTCACTTTTAAATTTTCTATGCTATAAAATGAAGAACTGGACAGCTTTAAGGCTGAGCTGTCAAGGGACTTTTGGGGATATTCAAAGTAGATATATCTTTGCTAGGAAGATTTTACAAGCCATCATCTACATTCCTTGTTGGCCAAAATAAGTTGTTATAACGATCAAAACAGATGGTATATGAGAAAGTGTTTTATGAACTGTAAAATGATGTATAAATTTATAATATTATAATTTTGACATTAAACTCTTGAGTTTAATGCCAAGCCTCTGAACCTTAAACAGTGATATCTTAAACAGGAATTGAGGGAGAAAAAAAATGAGAGATTGTTTTTTGTTTCCCCCTGTGGTGCCAAGGGTCTTCCCCATGCATGGCCTTGAGTATCCCAGAGAAGTGCTCTACCATTGGTCTGTATCCTCTAACTGAATCTTTTTTTTTCTTTTGGCTTTTTGAAACAAGGTCTCCCTGTAGCCCCAGCTGGCCTGGAATTCACTGGGTAGACCAGGCTGGCCTTAAATTCACAGAGATCCACCTGCCTCTGCCTCCCAAGTGCTGGGATTAAAGGCATGTGCCACCATGCCCAGCCTAACTGAATTATTATAGAACAGTTCTAAAGCCAGAAAAGGTGGGAGGTTGAGGCAGAAGGATCACAAGTTTGAGAACAGTCTGAGCTATAAGAAATGATATCTTAAAAAAAAAAACCTTCAGAATTAAGTAGATTATAATTGCAAGCATAATTGGAATTGAGCTGCTTCTATGCATAATAGATAAAATGATCTGCCGCATTTATGGGAAGGCTTTATTTATGTGGTCTTAAGTATTTATAATGTTGCTTGTCATTCTTCAAATAAAATCTTAATAGGAATAGGGAAACTCAGTTATCTGGGACATACTCAGGAGAGATGCAGTTGCCACTGTGTATGAGTGTGCCCCTTTTCATTGTGAAGTGGCGGAAACAGGAGTAAATTATGCTACCTGCTGGGAAGTGTGGCTAGATCTGCTCATTAAAGTACTGGGTTTTCTGGTGCTAGGGGACCTGAGAAAGGCAAGTTTAATCATGTCTCATGTTTCTTAGAAGTATGGCGGGGGGCAGGGTGTATAGTAGCACTTATATTTGAAAGGTACGTATACTTAAAGGATGTATAACACCTCTTTGTTAACCAGCCAGATTCAATTGCACTGCAGTCTCAGTTGCTTGGGAGGCAGAGGCAGGAGGATCACATGAGCCCACAAGTTTGAGTTTACTCTGGACAACATACAGAAAAACACTGTCTGGGGGTGAAGAAAGGAAGTAGGAAGAAAAACAAAGATGAACAGATTTTATAATGTCCCAAAATGCTGGAAATTTAAAAACCTTGATACTGTAAACCAAAAGTTGTCATTTCCTTAAAACAACCATAACTTATTTTAAACTTTTTATTCCCCAAAGATGCCAAGTAAATTAAGGTGTGTAAAATTTTCCCTGTAGCCACAGCTGGCCTAGATTTGCTATGGAGACCAGGCTGGCCTTGAACTCACAGTGATCCGCCTGCTTCTGCCTCCCAAGTGCTGGGATTAAAGGTGTATGACACCATGCCTGGTTTGTTTTTAATTATTGATTTTGAGCCCTTTTACAGTATATTTCAGCCAGAATTCACTAAACTTATTTATTTTTGTTATTCCAAGAACCATATAGGCAGAAATTATAAATAGCTTCTAAAATACTGGCTCAGTTAAATTCACAGATGAACATTCTGTAATGTTTCTAAGAAAATTGGGGTGCTAATGGGAAGACAGAATGAATACAAATGTTCTTATCAGAGATGTGTGTAAAAATGTGGAGTTGGGCAGGGGATATGGATATGTGTGTGTGTGTGTGTGTGTGTGTGTGTGTGTGTGTGTTTTCTTTTTTTTTCCCCCCTGTATTGGATTTGAACCTAGGGTCTTGTGCTTGTTGGGCAAGTACTGTGACTGAGCTATATATAGCCAAGCCCTCTCTTTATTTTTGAGATAGAGTCTCCCTAGGTTATCCAAGCTCATCTTGAACTCATGCTATAGTTCAAATGGGCCTTGGACTTTGAAGATTACAGGCCTGATCCACCAGACCTGACTGGTAGGATTAAGATTAAAGCACAAAAATTATCGAAAAATATCTTGGAGGCTGGAGAGATGACTCGGTAGTTAAGAGCACTGGCTGCTCTTACAGAAGTCTAAGGTTTTGTTTCCAAAAACTACATGGCGGTTAACAACCATTTGTAACTCCATTTCCAGGAAATTCAACACCTTCTTCTGTATGCTTGGGGGCACTTACATACATGAAGGCAAAACACTCATACATATAAAATAAAAATTAATAAAAATTTTAAAACATGAAAATGTCTTGAATTTTAAAAAATCTTGTCTTCAGATATTCTTTCATTTTGAAGAAACAGAATTCCTTTATGAAAGAAAATATTAAGTGACATGGATAGACATTCTTGAATCATCCTGATTTTGCTACTTAAAATGTTTTGCCTGTTGTCTGCATGTAAAACTGACCCTTACCTTGCTGTCTGCCTTTTATTGCTGTTAGCTAGAGGTGAGATTTTTATAGTGCATGTTGTATAACTAAGCAGATATTTTGAAATATGTTGACAGCCATGGAATTGGTAGTTTCAAAATGCTTCTGTAATCATTCACCTAAGGCTAGAAAGAGTCAGAAACTTCACTTTGATTGAAGTATATTACTACTCTTGAACTTTATGTAGCATAACCTTTCTATGTTTATTGTGATTAAAGATTACCTTGATGAAATGGAAGATTAGAAGTTTAAAATTATTAAAATATTTGTGGTAATAAGTGTGGGGAGGATATCAGTACTAGGAATGGAAGGTTGTAAGTAGTCTTCCTTTGAAATGATTGTGAGTAAATATTATAACACATTTGTAATGAGTAGAAATGCAGCCGTTACAGTCACATTTTTTAATCTTGTTCTAATTCCCACTTCTTTTTAAATCTTTACAATAGTGTTTGCCAGCTCTGAGCCTGTGCCAGGATTCCAAGGGGACACCCTGCAGCTAGCATTCATTGACCTCCGACAAGTAAGATGTGATAATGCACTCTGCATTTGCTGCTCTCTCTTGCCTTTTTATCTTTAATGCTACCAGAATGCCGGTTTGCCTTGAAATAACCTGTATTTAAAAGATGCTTTCTTTTTCCTTTGGAAGATACATTTTTGATTGCTATGTATTTGGCACATCTCTGAACCTGTGTCCATGCAGTGTCTCAACTTTATGAAGCATTCCCACAATGAGTATTTAATTTAATCATTACTTGAAAAGTATATTTCCCTGTAGTTTGGTTTGCTGACATTTAAAGTTTATTTTTTAATAATGTATTGGTCATACATGAAAATTTGTAATAACATTATTATCAGGATGCAAGTTAAATGTAAATTATTACAATCTAGAAAGTAACCATTCCCTTAAAATTTTGTTAATTGTAAATTTTATAAATTTTCTGTATGCTTTCAGAAAGAAGGATAAAACTTGGTTTAAAAAATTATTATTCAAAAAATATAATTATTCATTTACGTAATTGTTCTGGTATTCAAGTTTAATAGCAAGTATGAGCTCTTTCTTGTGTTCACTTTTCACTTTTGACATTTCTACTCTGTTGGCTACGTTTTAATTTTCTTTCCTTTTTCTCTCTCCTCTTAGTTTTCCTTCTGTCTCCTTTCCTCTTTCTTCTCCTTTTTCTTTTTCTTTCTTAATCCTAGGATTAAAGAGCTTAGTAGAGCCAAGGAGTCAGAGGGTATAGAGGCAGGGGTGATCCCTTCCAGAGGATTCAGGATTGCTAGATTGACAGGAGTGACTGCTATCCTTGGCAAGAAACCATGTGAAGACTGAATTAAAACAAAGCCACTGTGATCAGTCTGTTAATGGTGCCCATTCCCTTTTTGGGGGTGGAGATGACCTTCGATAAGGCTCTGCCTTGCTATAAGCAGACTCTTACCACACTGATATTTGCAGCAAGACCAATTTGAGCAGTTAAGGAAGTCTGCAATAAATATTTGGAAATAGTGCTCTTTTTGCTCTAATTCTCAGCCAGTATTTAATAGTATTTACTGGCTACTATATATTCATTATTAGATGAAGACATGAGATTGAAGTAGATACAAAAGTAATATGAGATAATTTCATCCTGTGGAGCTTAAAAGTCCCTTAGAGAAGAAGAATGTCCAAGTTGGTTAAGAATCCTTAGAAGACAATGAGTCATGTGGAAGTAAGTGCTATATTTCCAAGTCAAGTTTAAAAGGAAGTTGAAAAGGCAAAATTTTGTTACAAAATTTTGTCTGTAAATATCTGAGCTTTTTTTTTTCTGCTTATAATCAATACTTAGATATTATGCCAAACCAAGAACATCTGGGTGACCTGGATCTATAGATTGTTAGCCTTACTAACTGGGGAAGATGGTAGAAAGCTAGGAAATCCAACCCTCAGTTTCTGTTCCAGTTTACCAGAAGAGATTCTGTTGTAGCAGGTGCATTCCTTTTGAAGGATTTCTATTGCATTCTTGTTTCTCTAAGAAAAATGATCTACTATAGAAAATGGAGTCCTGTAGCAGGTTGGAAATAGGTTTCATTGTGTATTCATTTCTCAAGTAGGTTGAGACCACTTATTTATAGGGGTATAGTTTCAGGTTGGGAGGATGTATATGTTCTCCAACCCAAAAGAGAACATTAAAAGGAAATTATTTGGGGGTAATTACCATTATATATGCATAATTTGTTCACAGAAAATTTGAAAGTTATTACATGATATTTTCTGTTTCGTGTGACTTAGTGTTTAACTAGTTTATACATTAACTAGTTTGTAGTCACATAGCTTATGAAACTGAGGATTCTGTTGTTTCTAAAAGGATGGGGATGTAGTTCAGTGATAGGGCACTTCCTAGCAAGGTCCTAAGCTTAAAAAACAGAAAGAAACAAAAAACGGATGTGATGATACACTCCTCGAATATTAGCTAGACCTTGACTCAAAACACACATCCACACTTACCACCACTACCACCAGCAATAAAAACAGGTTTCAAATAGTATTCTTTTTTTTTTTTTTTAACTTTTAAAAAATATTTTTGACTCGTTTTTGCCTTGTTTTGAGGCAGGGTCTCCCTGTGTAGCCCAGGTTGGCCTGGAACACTCTAAGTTAAAAAAAACCTCCCTTTTGCAAGAGTACTGTACAATATGGCCCACCAATGATTCTTGTCCACTGATATGTGTAATTTTTTATTTTATTTATTATTTTATCTTATGTGTATGAATGTATTGCCTACATGTATGTGAGTGCACCTGTGTTGTGCATTGCTGCGGAGGTCAGAAGAGAGCTTCAGATTCCCCTGGAACTGGAGTTAAGGACGGTTCATAGCTGCCATGTGGGTGCTGGGAATCGAACCCAGGTCCTTCCCAAGAACAATCAGTGCTCTTAACCAGTGAGCCATCTATCCAGCCCCTCAAATAGTGGTCTTATTACTGCCCAATCCACTGTCTCTTGCAGTATATTAAGTAAACTTTTCTTTCTGTTGGAAAAAAAAATTGTTTTTTTAAATTGTCTAGATAAAATTTGATCTCAGTTATTTTCTTCCTTCAAAGACAGCCATTATTTGACAGCATAGAAGGCCTCTTTACAAGCATATAACTCCCTAGGAATTTGTTATTAAGGTATACTTATGTTAATAATATCTTGTTGTTTTGATTGAATTTACTTTTTAAATATGTGCAGTTAGAAGACATTAAGTCCTGATTGACTTTCCTTTATCAATATAAGCTATTCAAGAGATTTTCAAGTGAATTTTAGAAACCTACTATGAAATATGCACAATTGTGAATTCTATTATGACATGTATAGAGAATTGCTACAATTTTGGACTTACAGGGTGAGCTATGTAAGTATCAACCACTATCCTAAAGTACAGCCTTAAGCAAGCAGTGAAAGAGGGTAGTGGATAGAAAAATTTAATGAACTAATATAATGTGTTAATTTTTCTACTTTTAAGAGACATTTTTTCTCTATTAATGTTGAAATTTAATGTTATACTATACTTGTACTTTTATGTTCTAAAATGAGACACTAACTAATTCTTGCTTTTTTCTACTGTATCACTGTGGCCATAAGTCAAACTTTATGATTTCAGTAGCTTAGGTTCAGTAAATTAAAAAGGGTACTTAATTTCCACCTGTATTTGCTTTTAAAGTTAATTTATAAACACTTATATTATGAAATGTGCAATATGAGAATTGGCCAAAAAATAAACTGATCTTGAAAACAAAATTCTCAAATGAGATGATAAAAGTATGTTCTGCCAGATGCTAGTGATTATTTAAATGGGTGCCTTAAAGTTTTGATTGGGTTTTTATGTTTGACTTTATACATATATATTATAATATTCTTAAACTTATATGAAGGACTTTATCACCAAACATAAAGGGGTGCTAAGATCTTTATTTACATTTCAGTTGAGTTTCTGCACTTTTCCTTTTTTTTCTTTCTGGTCTGTGATCCATTTCTGTCTTAATAGGATGGCTGACAGTTCTTTTCAAGTATACTTAGAAAGGCAAAAGAGTTCTTTTCATAGTACTTATAAGGGGTCATGCTTCTGTTTTTGAGTCTGAATTTGATACTGCTTCTTGAATTGTGGGGTATGAAAGATTAGGAAGTAGGTCCAATGGTCACATTTTACCTGCCCACCCGGACTTTGCCCTGAGGTCAAACTCCTGATATTTGCTGCACTGAATAGAAGAGTTGATGACAAGTGTGAGCTGATACAAAAGGAAAGTTAGAAACGTATCAAAGTTGAAGGCAGGAGACCTGGGACTCTGTAAGAGACTGTAGCTAAAGACAGATCATCAGGATTGCCCTCCTACAGAAAAGGAAATAGCTGACCTGCGAGTGAAAAGACTTTATCTCCTGCCAATCACAGACTTGCTAATGGAAGCCAGTTATCTCAACAGCATCTTAACACCTACTGCTCTAAGAGACCTCATGGAGGATTAATGGTGCTGGTACTTCATTATGTGAATATGTACCTCAGTTTAAACTGCCATTTGAATGTGATTTGTATGTGTAAAATTTTCTTACAAGTAAAACTAGTCATCCACCTTTCTAAAATTAAGTCACTTAAATGATGGTATTTTATAGACTTAATATGTTTGACTCTTTTTTTTAAATACAAAAGCCATCTACACTTTTAAAGTATCTTTTAAGTGGACTTCAATATGTGCAATTTTTTTTTTTTTACAATATCTGAAAGCCTTAAAAAAAGATTTTTTTTTTTTTTTTTTTTTTTTTTTTTTTTGTGTGTGTGTGTGTGTGTGTGTAGCCCCAGCTGGCCTGGAACTCACTGTGTAGACCAGGCTGGCCTTGAACTCACAGAGGTCCACCTGCCTCTGCCTCCCAAGTGCTAGGATTAAAGGCGTGCGCCACCACATCTGGCAAGAGCCTAAAAATTTTAAGGCTCCTTTACTATAAGATTCTCTTTATATGTAGTATTAAGTGATGCTTTTTGTAAATCATTCTTAATACAACAGAAAAAATTCATTGTAAAATGAAGTAACTCATGTAGCTGAATTTCCCATGTAGTTAAGGATTATATTTGAACCACAGTACCTTTTAAAATTGTGACCATTTTCTGGCAAGAGCCTAAAAATTTTAAGGCTCCTTTACTATAAGATTCTCTTTATATGTAGTATTAAGTGATGCTTTTTGTAAATCATTCTTAATACAACAGAAAAAATTCATTGTAAAATGAAGTAACTCATGTAGCTGAATTTCCCATGTAGTTAAGGATTATATTTGAACCACAGTACCTTTTAAAATTGTGACCATTTTGGTGAAAAACCTAAAATACCTCCAACTTTTATTGCCTCTGAGCATAACTATAGTAAATGGAATATCCCTGGCTTCAGTGTTACTAGAATTAAACCTTATTTAATTGGTGCTGTTTAACTTTGTGGTAAATTACTTAGATTGACAAAATACTGCTTCATTTGATAATGTTTTGATTCTTCTTTGGATAATATGCAGAATTTTAGGTAGATTGAATT